GCCGGCAGAGCCTGCGGCCCTTGGCAATACGGGCACGAATACGCTTCCCAAGCTTGGGGTGGGCAATGTATGCAAGTCGAGTAAGCTTGCGGCTAGGACCCTTTGGGATCTTCGGCTTAACCTCCTTGGGCTTTACAAGGGCCTTGATAGCCTCAGCACGTGCACTCATGGCACTGGCGTTGTTGGCTTGCATCTTCTTCAGGCCTTTCTTGTTGTGCTTCTTGGCAAAGCGCATGTTCCTCAGGAACTTGGGGTCCACCTGGAAAGCAGGAAGGGTGGCAGCACATAAGGCCCCCAAGTCACTCCCTGATGTCCCTCTCCACAGAGGTGCCCAGCATTCTAAAGACAACATCAAGTCAATCTTAACTGTGTAAACACCCAAACTTCAGAAACCATTTCCAAAGAAAACATATACTGCCATCCCAGAGGACCAAGACTCCACCTAAATAATGCTGTGCAGACCATTTTCGAGAAGGAATGCTACCACCCTCTCTGCCAGGGTTGCAGAGCTTCAGCCAAATTTGTTTCCAGAAATCCTCTCAGGGCCACTCCCTCCCCCTTTATTTATTTTTTTTGAGTTAAGAGTCTCACTCTGTCATCCAGGCTGGAGTGCAGTGGCACACTCACAGCCACTGTAGCCTCAACCTTCTGGATTCAGGTGATCCTTCCACCTCAGTCTTCCAAGTAGCTGGGACTACAGGCACACGCCACCACGCCTGGCTAATTTTTTTTACTGTAGAGACGAGGTCTCACCAAGTTGCCCAGACTGGTCTCGAACCTGTGGGCTCAGGCAATCCTCTCACCTCAGCTCCCAAAGTGCTGGGATTATAGGCATGAGCCACCGTGCCAGGGATTCCCCTCCTGCTTTAGATAAAGGGGATCAACAACTAAATACCAAGCCTGGTCCAACAGATTCACAGATGAGGCAAAAACAAGAGACCAAAGTAGGGAAACTAAGGCTGAGATTTCATGATTCACATCACAGATTAGAGAGCAAAAATAAAGGGGAGGAACAGACTGGTGACAGGCTTAGCTCTTCCCTAGAACCTACAGCCTTCTCCAACAAACTGCCCTCACGGGGCAGGTTACAGAGGGCTATACTTCAGGCTGCGAAAGGAAAGCTTTATTATGAGTCTGGCAGGGTAGAGAGAGGAATTCCAGGCTTTTAGGCTCTGATGAGGCAGAAGCTAAAGCTGGAGAAAAGCGGCATGAAAAGTCATGACTGCACCTGGAGCCAAGAAAAGATACCCCTAAGTGATTTAGCGCTCACACTCACCCCCTTAAGAGACTCGTATCTTTGTGATCGGGGTTTCTTGATGCCATTTCTGTGCCATTTTCGGGCTATGGGGGGGGGGGAGGAAGAAAAGGAAATTAAGCCAATAAAGACATTTCTTCCAGTAAGATCACCCAACATCACAACTCGCAAACGTGGGCAAGCCAACACTTCCTAGAATAGGCATCCCTGAGATCTAGAAAAGCTACTACTGAATTCAAAGCACTATGGTTATCTTAAGTGGATCCCTGGCTCCTACACGTAGAACCCCAGAGGTATTACTGAGCTGAAAACAAAATCAGCCCCAGGCCCACAGTGGATATGTGCCCCTCACCGCCGCCCCAGGATCCCAAAAAATCCTTGCCAAAGTCTGGGACACGAGCTGGGCCCGAGAAACTTACACTGGTTGTGTGTGGTATGGTTCTTGGACTTGGCCATGTCTGCACCTGGACGATAAAAGCGGAGATCAGGGCTGGGGTAGCTTGCCGGACTGGGCCACCTCAGCCACCCTGACCTAGTGGAACGTGAGGCCAGAAGCCAGAATGAGGCTGCAAATGACTTGATCTGAGGCCTCCACCAGTCACCACTCACTTTGCACGACCCGACGCCTATCGCCGCCTCCCAACCCAGGTATGATGACCTAAAATCAACTCCCCACCCCCGGGAGGCTGCGCGCCCCGAGTCACTTCCCCTGCCGACCACCCCGCAGTCTCCGCTCGCCACAGCCACAAAGCTGGTCCCTGTGTAAGCCCCACAGCCTGCACGCCACGGCCGCCCCCCCTGAATCGTGGATGGCATCGGATGCCGCGAGGCCAAAACTCACCGTAAGCCGCGGATGCTGAAGCGCCTGGGACCGGAAGAGGAAGAGAGGCCGCTGTGCAGCATGGGAAATAGGGTCGGCGATGGCGGAAAGTTCTACTAGAAATGTTCCCCTCAGAGCCGGGAAGAAAGGTTCCGAAGCCCGAAAGCGCGCAAGCCCAGACGGAGAGGCGGTGCTACGAACCTGACTCCGCCTATTTCAGGCTGGCTCCGCTCCTTTCGGACTGCTTCCTGTCCTCTCTTCTGTTCTTCCAGCATCTGGCTCTTGGAATTCGGTCTTATTAAAGATCCTGCAGGGGACGGGAGTCCTTGAGAGATGGATGTTAGGCAGGGAATGACTGGAGGTCTGTGTTCTTAAAAAGTACACCTGGTTCCTTCGTGGAGAACGGACTGCGAGAGGCGTGAGGAGGCTGGTGCAGAGTACCATGGGAGGGTGATGGCTCCCTGGACCTGAGTTGGGGCAGTGGGGATGTAGAGGAGTAGACAAGGAAAGAGAGTAGACCAGGCTTGGGATGTAGAAGCTGAGGGAGAGAAAGGAGGCAAGGATAGCCCCTAAGTCTTTGGCCTGAATATCTGGGTGAATGATGGGACTTAAGAGATGAGGATGACAGGGGCTTTGGTTGTTTTGTTTTGGGAGAAGCGATTATCCAGATGTTTCTCTTCAGAGTCATTAAATGTGAGGTGCCTATTGGACATCCAAATTGAGGAAGCATTGACTCCTAACAACCCTGTTGCCATCTTCACCTCTCCCCCAGAGTCTCCAAGTCCAGCTGGGTGTCTCATGCCTAATCCCAGCACTTTGGGAGGCCAAGACAGGAGGATCGCCTAAGGCCAGAAGTTCATGATCTGCCTGGGCAACATAGTGATAACTCATCTCTATATAAAATAAATAAGAAAATAATATGTAAGTCAGATCCTGTTCCTTAAAGTCTGCAAGGACATCTCCTTGCATTGAAGATCAATTCTTTACTTCCCCTGACCCTAGCAACCTCTCCTTGTCATTTACTTCTCTTCAAACCCATGGTCTTTTCAATGCCAAGCAAAAATGCATGTTCCTGCCTCAGGGACTTTCCACGTGCTATTCTCTACAGCTGGAGTGCCTTTCTCCTTGCTTTTTGAATGGTTTGCTCTTTCTTATAGAGGCTTCCGTGGTCTGCCCTATCTAAAAAAGAATAAAAACTCTGCCCCAATTCTCCTGTCACTCTGTGTCCTTTCATTCTGTTTACTTCCTTCATAGAACTCGCCTAGACTCTAAGTATGTTGCCTGTTTACTTATATATGTGTCCATTGTCACAAGCACCATGAGTTTGGGACTGGTTTGCTCACCTTCATTTTCCCACTGCCTAACATGACACTTGATGTAGAGCAAGAGCTTAATAAATGATTTAAGCTTTATAAGCTTAAATTTGAAAATGAACATTCCTTGGCAAGACAGATTCATGGAGAAGCATATTGCAGAGGTTTAGGGAGTGAAGGAGAAAGGAGGTCATGGTGGCAGGACATATGGATGGCTCCTTACCAAAACATTCCTGAGAAGGAAGAGAAGCCTGACAGGCATAAGTTAGGGAAATGAAGAGCAAGTTCGTCTGCTGATGGATGACCTGGTTCCAAGAAAGAAACAGTTGAGGCCAAAGAGAAAGATGTTTCTGCCAGAGCAAAGTCCTGGGGTACTGTGCACAGGTAGAGAACCTGATGGGCTGAGGTAGAGACTGCAGGAGGTGGGGGTAACATGATACCTGACTGCAAGTCAGGGCCTTAGTACAGAAAGTGGGAGAGGTGGGATTGCAGGTTAGAACAGGGAGGAGAATCTGACTGCTGTACCCTTGAGAAAGAGAAGCAAGCAGGTTAGGGGCCAGCAGAGGGGGCTGTGAGGTCTTTGAAGGAACTAAGCTACCTTGCTATGTGGCCCTCCAGCTGGGCAGTGGTGACCACAGCTCCTAGAAAGTGAGCAGTGACACCCGCTTAGGACTTGGTTTTGCCAGGCTGTTATGGCAATGGCCAAAAAAGCAGTGAGCAGAAAGCCAGTCTGATGGGGAAGGCAGATTCAGGGACAGACAATGGCTATACCATACTGTTGGGGCTGTGATAAGAATGGGCCCAGGGTGAAATCTTGGCTGCCAGGCAAGCAGGAAGGCAGTGACAAGAATGAGGAACTTTGGCTATGACTTCAGGGGACCTGTCCAGGGGCCAACGGGAGTGGGCCATGACCTGGAGTCACTGACCTATCATGCTTTTCAAAAAGGGATGATTGATAGGGCCAGCCATTTGTATAGGGATAGCTTTCTTTTTCTTTCCTTCCTTCCTTCTATTCTTTCTTTCTTTCTTCTCTCTCTCTCCCTTTCTTCCTCTTTCTCTCCCTCCTTCCCTCCCTCCCTCTCTTTCTCCCTTTCTTTATCTTTCTCTTCGTCCCTCCTTCTCTCTCTCTCTACATAAATGGCACCTTACTATGCAAACTCTTCGATCACTTGATTTTATGCCTTCAGTTATAGTTTGTGGACATCTTTCTCTGCTTATTAAAGATATTTTGTCATCATATTTTACTTTACATATTTTAAAACATTACTCTGAAAAGAGGTTAATAAATATCAGCAGATGCCAAAGGAGTCTTGGCACACACATACCAAAAAAAGATGAAGAACTTACCCTTTCCTCTAGAGTCAACACACTTCCAGCTCTTGCCATGAGTAGCTCTTGCCCTCTCAAATCTACACCTAGATCTACTTGCCTTCCTTTGCGGTGTAGCCTTGGACAGAGCTGCTAGCTGGACTCAGCAGTGCACCAAACAACCAGGACCCTCTCAAATGCCTTGGGCACAAGGCAGAGATTGATGTGAGCCTGATGACAAGACAAAACTTGGACTGGACAAATCTTGTGATCTGCCCAAGCCATGTGGCCTGCAGGAATGTTGTCTTGCCCAGACCTTGTCCAGACCCACAATGCAAGTGGGATCCAATGGGGTCTACTCAGCAAAGTAACAGAATTGGGGACACCTGGGGTTGTTTTTGCAGTTTCTGTCACAGTCCTGGGAGTATGTGGGGACCTGATAAATGTTTGAGGAGTTAAATGTGCACATTTCACAAATTCAGGCAGATGACAGAATCAGGGACAGGAGGCTAGCTGCCTTGAGGGAATTTTAACTCTTCTCCTGGACCCAGAGCCCTGTTCACTAAGCCTTTGTTCTCAGCATAACACAAGTTAGTAAGGGATTAAAATAGTCCCTACTTCTTTTGGCTAAACTGGATAATTTGAGTAAAGCACCAAGCACTATGCTAAGTACACAGTAGGTACTCAATCATTGTTAGTCCCATTCATGCTTCTTGCCCACAAGTCCTTAGAGGAAGGAAATGGGATTTAGGTAAAGAAGGTTAGCAGCAAGTGGATGCTAAAAATGAGGTCAGTGGTGGGGCCCCGTGGCTCAAGCCTGTAATCCCAGCACTTTGGGAGACTGAGGCGAGAGGATTGCCTGACCGCACGGGTTCGAGACCAGCCTGGGCAACATGGTGAGACCTCTCTCTACAATAAAATAAAATAAGAAATTAGTCGAGCCGGGCTCGGTGGCTCAGCCTGTAATCCCGCGCCTTTGGGAGGCTAAGGTGAGTGGATTGGGCAGCGAGACCTCATCTCTACAATAAATCAAAAAATCAGCCGGGCGTGGTAGTGCA